TTCTTTGACTTACTCCACAAATACCTTTTTAGTTACATTAATGTCAGAAGCAGAGAAAGTTGTTTCCATGATCCATCTGACAAAACAAATTGCTATTTTTTTCCCCCCTGCATTTTACTCCTTGGGTATCTTTTGTTTTCACATGGTTGTGATCATTCCTGTAAAAACAGTGGTGTCTTTTGCTTTTTAAATTTAGCATGAGTTTATTTGTTTGTTTTTTTTTTCAGTTTAACAAAGGATGTAATAAGTGATTGAATGACAGATGAAGTGAATACATAGTAAAATTTAGAGCCCATCTTAGACCCTCCAGTTTCTGTGGTCTGTGTGCTGCCCACCAGCTCCAGGGCTTCACTGTGGTAGGATTTCCTGGTGAGAGGCCAAGTGGTCCCCATCCCACTCTTCTTTTTCTCTGGCTGTATCTTTAGGGCAAAGGTGATCCTGGCTTCTGCATTCTCAGCACTTAAATCACTGAACCTGTCCAGAGTAGGGATAATACTGAAGCATTATTAATTTAAATGGAAAGCTTTCTAAATTTATTGTTGAAATGTTATCTTTTATCTATATTTTGATAGTTTTTTTTGAGATAAGTTCAGGATGGGTAGTAAACACAGTATGTTTATAGGAAACTAATATAATACTTGCAAAGTAATTATCATGCAATACTTTTTTTTTTCAGTACAGGGGTCAGACTCAAGACTTTGCACAAGCTAGGCAAATACTTTACCACTTAAAACCACATCCTCAGCCTATGTGTTTATTTTAGTTCGAGTGTTTCAGCTATAGATTTTTCTGTAAGAGAAAGTGAATTTTCTATTGTTTATTTATTTATTTATTATTATTATTATTTTTTTTTATAGAGAGGGTCTCACTATATTGCCCAGGCTGGAGTGCAGTGGCTATTCACAGGTGCGATCCCACTTCTGATCAGCACGGGAGTTTTGACCTGCTCCGTTTCCGACCGGGCCGGTTCACCCCTCCTTAGGCAACCTGGTGGTCCTCCGCTCCCGGGAGGTCACCATATTGATGCCAAACTTAGTGTGGACATCCGACGGCATAGTGCACTGCGGCCCAGAACTCCTAGACTCAAGCGATCCTCCCACCTCAGCCTCCCGAGTAGCTGGGACTACAGGCGCGCGCCACCACGCCCGGCAAATTTTCTGTTGTTTAAGTTATATTTTTAAAATATTGGTGTTTGTATAGACAACCTGTTTTTTTTTTTTTTTTTTTTTTTTAATCAGTACTGGGGATCGAACTCACGACCACCTGCTTGCAAGGCAGGTGCTTATGCCACTGAGCTAAATCCCCAGTCCCTAGACAACCTGTTTTTAAAATGTATATGATGCCTACTGTTGTGGTGCACACCTATAATCGCATCAGGAGGCTGAGATAGAAGGGCTTCAAGTTCACGGCCAGCCTTAGCTACACAGTGAATTCAAGACAGCCTGAAATGAGACTGTGTCTCAAAAAAAAAAAAAAAGTATATAAGTATATGATACATACTGTTTCAGTTACTTTTCTCTCGTTGCTAAAGTAAAAATACCCCAAACTTAAAGGTGGAGAGGTTTATTTAGCTCATAGTTTGTAGAGGTTTCAGTTTATAATCAGCTGGCTCCAAGGTATGGTGGAAGGACAACAGTTCATGGCAGCAGAATACAGCAAAAGTAGTAACGAAGAAAGAGCAGGGACAAGCCTGTTTCTGTCCCTTCTATTTGGACCATGAATCAGTCACAATTCAGCTGCCTCTGAAAAGCCTGCACTTCCCCGAGACTGCATGAGGCTTTTGAGGGACATCTAGACACAAACCATAACATGTACCAATTTTTTTCCTATCACATCTCTTAGAGCAGGAATTTTTTTTTTTTTTTTTTTTTTGTCTTTTTCATTTTTATCGGTACCAGGGATCGAACTCACGACCGCCTGCTTGCAAGGCAGGTGTTTATGCCGCTGAGCTAAATCCCCAGCCCCAAGCAGGAATTCTTAATTTTGACCTTCTGGATTTAGGACAGGGTCTTTTAGGATGTAATCTACAGAATCACAGGTGTGCTTTGAAGAATGAGAACTCCATCCACACATTCCTCTAGTCCCTTCTCTAAGCTTTGGTTCAGTAGGTTTTGGATGGGACCTTGTAGTCTGAATGATAATAAGCAGCTATGTGATTCTTCTGCAAAGAAGATATCATAATTACTGCCTTAGGCAAGCCATAGTTTGGATGAGGCAATTTGTAAACTTTGGAATCAAAAAAATTTTTATGGTATTGCTTAATAATTTTTCTAGTAAGACAGTATGATCTCATCATTAAAGATCACAGAGCTCACCATGATTCAATAAAAATTAAGTTACTATGCCATTTCTGCCTCCTGTGACCCTCTTTTGGGATATAAATAAATTTTTAATGTTCTTTTAGCACAACAAGGGCATTTTATACATAAGACTTTTTTTGGTTTGTTTTGATTTTTTTTTTCTTCTTTCAGAGGGTGCTGGGAGTTGAACCCAGTGGGTTTAAATTTGCTACTAGGTGTACCAGTGAGCTAGACTAGCTTGCTTTCCTATTTATTCTTTGATAGTAGGAATTGAATCCAGGACCTTTGCACTGAGCTACATCCCCAGTCTTTTTATTTTTAAAATTTATGTTTGGTGTTTTTTTAAAATCTTTTTGATTCAGCACTTTTTTTTTGCACTGAGGATTAAACTCATGAACTCTTGCTTGCCATTTTTTGTCTTTTTGAGACAGAGTTTCACTATACAGTTCAGGCAGACCTTGAACTCACTTTGTGGCCCGTGCTAGCCTCAAACCTCTAGCAGCCCCCCTTCCTCAGCTTCCCAAGTGCTGGAATTACAGATGGTGTACCACCACTCCTGGGTCTAATTTTCTGTTTTGAGAGAGGGTCTCACTAATTTATTAAGTTGCTCAGGCTGAACGCAAACTTGGGATCCTCTTGCCCCAGGGTCCCAGAGTGTTGGTGTTGTAGTCAAGGGTTGCAAGGAGGACAATTACATATAGGACACAGAATTTATATTATTATTATTATTATTATTATTATTATTGGTACTGGGGATCAAACTCACAACTGCGAGCTTGCAAGACAGGCACTTATGCCACTAAGCTAAATCCTCTATAATATTAATTTATGATGATCACCCATAGTTAAATAAAAGGAAGTGCAGGAAATCTGTTCACAACACTAAAGACCTGGAAAATCCAGCTGAGTGCCTGGTCCCACAGCAGTGTCCTGCATGAATCCAGCTGGAGGCCTAGAGCCCATGACAATGACTCATGCAAGTTTGTTCTATGGATCTGCTTTGGGAAGGCCCAAAAGGTTAGCAGTGGAAGCCAGAAAATCTGTGCCAGTAGGTTGAAGGTTCTGCACTGGAGCCAAGAAGCAACGCTCAAAATAAGGACCAAGGGGGCTTGGGATTTTAGCTCAGCGGCATAAGCGCCTGCCTTGCAAGCAGGCAGTCGTGAGTTCGATCCCTGGTACCAATAAAAATGAAAAAGACCAAAATAAATAAATAAGGACCAAGGCTCCCCTAAAAGTACCACAGCCATTCTCAACAACAAGGTCCTGAGCTCCTTTGAGGTCAGGCCAAGTTTCTATCAGGGAAGCCAGTCATGACTCCTCCAGGAGAACCAACAGTTCCAAACAACAGCAACACTTAGGGGAACCCACAGTGCCATGCTCTTCCTCTCCATGTCTCCTTTTATGCTGGCAACAGTCCTCGGGTGGGCCATCTACACGTAGCACCATGCTGATTTAATTCAGCCGGTGTTAAGTTGTCCACCAGTTTTTGATCCATAACAGCTGGGATTACATTACAGCTATGTACCACCATGCCCAGTTGTGTTGTGGCTTTCTTATCTACTGTTCCTTTACTTCTTTGCAGTAAAATGAATTTTAATCCCCAGTGTTTAACTTTCTGTACTGAAACATGCTATTGCCAGGAATTGCATTGTGCAAATAATCATTTCTAACATTTATTGAGGATAATAGTGGGCCAGTCATTTTACTAAATGTGGCAGATTATTTTCTTTAAACTTCACAGCAACTCCATGAAATTACCACAGTAATATTATTTTGACAAACAGGAAATTTGAGACATGGAGTATTTAATTAACTTGACCAAATTGCCATAGTTTGTGTATGTTGAAGCCAGGATTTGTGCCCTTTCTGACGTGAAAGCCAGTTTACAGTTGTGTAAGTTTCTACGAATCAGTCACAGTTGTTTTATTGCTGAGGGGTGTGTGTGTGTGTGTTTACACACACAATGGAATATTCAGTCTTAAAAAAGAAGGAATTTTTGCCATTTATAAGAGCATGGATAAAGCTAAAAGACATGTGCTAAGAGAAATAATTCAGACACAAAAAAGTACTACATGATCTTACTTACTTGATTTTCACAGTTAAATTCATCCATGTGTAGACTAGAATGGTGGTTATTGGGTAGGGGGTGATGGCGAGATGTTGGTTGAAGGGTACAGAGTTTCAGTTGACTGTGACAGATGGATTCTAGTGATGGGATATATAGGATGGTGACTATATCAAGTGATAATGTATTGTGCTTGTATACTTGGAAATTACTAACCACAGATCTTAAGGTTTTTTTCTTTTCTTCTACATACAAAAGGTAACTGAATATGTTGAGTGGCATGTATCATATATATAATATGTATAAAATGTATTTTATGTGTGTATATATATATCACTGCATAACTTTTGCTTTTTAAGAAACTGGGGCTTGATCCCAGGTCCTCTCTGAATGGGAATCTCTATCCTTTGTTCCTTTTTATTTTGATACAGTATCACCCCATGTTGCCCAGATTGCAGTCTCCTTCAGCCTCACAGAGTGCTCCAGGCATTTGCCAACACACCTGGCCCTTAACATTTTACTTATTTATTTATTAATGAATGGAATATGGTAGTTGTACCATAGTTTTGAATGATGCCTGTGATTTAATTTTTTCCAGAGGTTCAGATTTTGAGTGTTTATTTCTTTCTTTTCAGATTAAAGAGAGTGCATCACAGACACGAGGTGTCCTCAGGCATCATTTTAGTGATTTGAAGGAGACCCTAGGGAAACTCCTGGATGAGCGGCTGGTGACTCTTTTGCAAGAGGTGGATACCATTGAGCAGGAGACCATTAAACCACTAGATGACTGCCAGAAGCTCATAGAGCATGGGGTTAACACTGCAGAGGACTTAGTCCGAGAAGGTAGGACCCCAGTGAGCCAGTTAAATGCTTGTCTTTCAGATTGACGTTTGGCTGATTTCTCTGGCTGTCGGTGGATTTCTTGCTATCTGTGGGATACTTGGGATATTCCTTCCTTTAGGCAGTTTGTAATAATGGATGGCAGTTATATTGTGAAGTATTTCAAGGTAAATGTAATTAAAATATTAATTAGTATCATTTACAAAATAAGGAATAAATTATATCTCAAATGCTTCTATTTGTTATTGTTAACACAATTTTGAGATCATTTTGAGCCTGTTCACATATGTCCCAGTAGTCATGGTTCCATTGTCCCTTTAGAAGGTTAAAAAATATGATTGATGTTTACTCCTGAAGTTAGTTGCTGTTTTCTTGTCCTTAGCTAACTTTTTTTGTTGTTGTTGTTGGGTACCAGGTATTGAACTCATGATCTCGTGCTTGCCAGGCAAGTCCTTGGGAGCTTTCTATAGGAGTAGTTCTATAAAGATTTGACAAAATTCATCAAGCAGATAAGGAAAAAAGAGGGAGATAACTATGATTTCAAGTAGAACTGACATCAGAAGTAGAGTGAGGGGCTGGGGATTTAGCTCAGTGGCATAAGCACCTACCTTTCTTTCTTTTTTTTTTTTTTTTGGTCTTTTTCCTTTTTATCGGTACCGGGGATCGAACTCGCAACTGCCTGCTTTCAAGGCAGGCGCTTATGCCGCTGAGCTAAATCCCCAGCCCCGCACCTACCTTTCAAGCAGGTGGTTGTGAGTTCAATCCCTGGTACCGATTAAAAAAAAAAAAAAAAGAAGAAGAAATAGATTGAAATGTCATATACAAGGATTTGCTGAAGTACTTTAGGCAGTAAAGTTTACTTCGTATCACAGTGGCCTTGCCCACAGTTGGAGACTAAATTAGAAGTCGTAAATTAAAATTTAGCTGAGTGTGGTGGTACATGCCTGTATTTCCAGCACTCAGGAGGCTGAGGCAGGAGGATCGCTGTGAATTCTAAGCCAGCGTGGGCAACATAATGATTTTAAAGTCAGCCTGAACTACAAAAACAAGACCCTGTTTCTAAAATAAAGCCAAATTAAAAAAAACTACAACATCAAAAAAGGTTGTAAGTTCTGGAGGTAAAAGAGATTGATTAAAAATTGTGAAAATAAGCCAGGAAATGGTAGACAATGGCAAGCAAAAAATTAGACAGGATGGTTTGAAGAGATTTTTTTGGAAAGATTTTTTTTGTTTTGTTTTATGAGACAGACTCTCCCTATGTAGTTAAGGCTTGCCTTGAACTCAGTTCATGCAGGTCTCAAATTTACATTGATCCTCCTGACTCAGTGCCTTGAGTACTGGGATTATAGGCATATGCCACTATGTCTAGGTCTGGAAGTAGAATTATTGATGAATTTACTGATCAATGATTTTTATTTTATTTACTTATTTATTTGTTGAGATAGGGTCTCATTATATAATTAAGACTGACCTTGGTCACTGTGTAGTCCAAGCTACATACAGTAAGTAGCCTCAAACTCACACAGTTCTCTTGCTCAAGCCTTCCAAGTGCTGGGATTACAGCCAATGTTACCATGCCCAGCCCTTTTTCTTTTCTTTTTTTTATGGGGGTTACCAGCGATTCTTGACTACTGGAGAATCTAAATGACTCGGTATACAATGGAGTAGGTACTTAGTCAAGTGCTTTTGGGTTGGGTTAGAGGTGCTCAACATGGAAATGTGGGTGTGATGTGTAGGAAAGAGATCATACCTGGAGACGTCAGTTAGTGGAGATCATACCTGGACATGTCAGTAAGGCAGTTAGTGGCACACACATCACAGTAAGTAGAATCATTAGTGATGATGTGTGGCACAGTGCTTGCCTGGCAAGCTCACAGTCCTGAGTTCAATTCCCATTACCCACCCCCACACACAATTCTTGAACCTGAACAACTGTTTCTTCTTTGTTTCTTTGTTTCTTTCTTGGTACTTGGAATGGAACTCACAACTTTGAGCTTGCCAGGTAGGCACTTGTGCCACTGAGCTAAATCCCCAGCCCCTACAGAGGGTAAGATTAACCATAAACAGAACAAAACAGATGATAAGGAAACAATTTCAAAGCAAGTCCACTGGAGATCTTCACTATCTTATTATCTCTAGTTTTCTTCCAAATAGTTGTCTCCATCTTCACACACATTGAATACATACTGAACATTATAGAACTAATCTAATATGTTTTGCTTTTTAAAATTAAAAAAAAAGCTATTTAATATGAGAAGAGTGAGTGGCTTAGAGTAGAACACTAAGTAATGTCAATATTTAAAGGGTGGTTGAAGGATAAAAAGAGACTGAATTCCATTTCTTCTGCAGAATGTTGAGTGGCTTAGGATAAACATGCTGTGGCTCACACAACTGCCCCTTGGTCTGGGACTTACTCTCCTTTGGGTCCCCTTTAGAAAATGGTGCTACTGTTGTCTGCATCTAATTAAAGTTTTATCTTCAATGAGAAGATTTTTTGTTTCCCCCACTGACCATAACAGTCTCTTTGAGAAATGTTTTTGGCAGGACACAGAATGTCTTTCCCTAGAGGCTTGTGTTTGGAAACAAACCCAGAAGCAGGTCAGCACAGGCCAGGAGTGCACACTATTTCCCTGGGGACTGAGAAATGTTTTCATTTTAGAAAATAAACCCTTTGAGGCACATTCATGTTATAGCATTTGATGATTAAACTTTTTTATACTTTAGAAATTTTTAAAATCTCGAACCCTTCTCCCTTTCTCCCAGGAGATAAGAACTTATTTATGGATTTTGAGGCAGTCTGCATTATGTTCCTGTTTTCCGGTGGTGAAGACGGTCACATGGTCTTAAAACTTGAATAACTCCAGGGCATACACCAAAGGTGGTGCCCTTGAGCACTGTGCAGGATGTGGAAGTTGGTCTTACCTGCACTCTGGGCAGCATGTGTTTTTTATTCTGTTATGTAATTTCTGATTTAATGAATGATACTCTTTCAGGAAAATCTGCGTCATTGTTTTTGTCCCTGTGTGGGTGTATGTGTGTTGGGGATTGAACCCCCGGTCCTTCTCATGGAGTTGCATCCTCTTCCTTTGTCTTTTTTTTTTTAATAAATAAGGTCAGATCACTAAGTTGCCCAGGCTGCTTCAGCCTCTCAGAGTGCTAGGATTGTTAAGTGTGTGGCACCACACTGGGGCGCTGTTGGCTTTTTAAGGCCAGATGTCTTTATGGGCATGGTGGCACAGGTGTGTACGCAGCTGTTGCAGAGACTAAAGGAGGAAGATGGCTTGTTCAAGGCCAGCCTGGGCAATTCATTGAGATTTTGTCTTAAAATAAGGACTTGGTAAGACCCCGTCTTTTTTGAGACTGGGTCTCGCTATGCAGTTCAGGCTGGCCTTAAACTCACTTTGTAGCCCAGGCTAGTCTTGAACTCACAATGATCCTCCCACCTCAGCCTCCCAAGTGCTGGGATACAGGCGTAAGCCTCCATGCCCGGCAAGACCCTGTCTTAAAAATAAAAAGTGGGCCAAGTATAATGGCACATTCCTTTAATCCCAGGATCAGGAGACTGAGGCAGGAGGATAGGAGGATTGCCTTGAATTTGAGACCAGCGTGGGCTACATAGTGAGTTCAAGGCTAGTTTGAGCCACATAGTGAGACCCTATCTCAAAAAAGAAGAGGAGAAAAAAAAAAAAAGGACTGGAAATGTAGCTGTGTAAAGCCCCTGAATCAGTCTTCAGTACTGCAAAATAGAAAGGTTTCAGTAATAAAATAAGTTAAAATAAAAAGTGTTGAGGATATAGTCATTGTGAAGACCCTGGGTTCAGTCTCCAGTACCAGAAAACAAAAAAAGACCTCATACCCCATTGCTTCCATCGGGATAACGTTGTGTTCATATTGAACTTGATGAAAATTCTGTAGGCAGGATGGGGCAGTCTCTCGGCCTTCTGCTTTATATGACATTGATCGTCAGATTAAATTTGGTTGTCTAGAGCAACATTTTCCAGTCTGGCTGAATGCTGCCACTGTGTACCCCATTTCTGTTTGGGCTTAACCCTAGTGCCTTCCAAAATAGATTCTATTTTTATTTTTGGAATTTGACTATGGCATCATGTAGGTATTATTTGCAAGAAAATTGGAGACCCACATGGACACAGGGTATGTTGCTTACTTTTCTAGTAATGGCCATTTTTCACTGTACTAGCTCTCTTATTTTTGCTATAGGTGAGATTGCCATTCTTGGTGGTATAGAGGAACAGAATGAGAAACTGTGGAGCTTTACCAAAAAGGCCTCACACATTCAGTTGGACAGGTAAAATAGTTTATGTCTTTCAGACTTCATCATTTAAACTATGTGTTCTCTTTTCCCCTGTTAAAGATTCGGATTAAAGTAAGTAGAGAATATATTTTTCAAAGTTTGACTACTCCTTTTCACTACTTACTAACATAGAAGTTAGTAAGTTTTGACATAGTATTATTACAGATCTTTTTTAATTCCAACACATAAGACAGTTGTTAAGTGTTTTGAAATTCTGGGACTCCGTTTCAGCAGCACATATGCCAAAATTAGAATGGCGAACCCAGTGTAGTGGTGGGTGCTTGTAATCCCAGCACTTGGAAAGCTGAGGCAAGAGGATTGAATTTGAGGACAGCCTGGTTTACATAGTGACCTCCAAGCCAGTCCAAACTACATAACAAGATCCTGTCTCTGGGGGTGGGGGGAATACAATATATATATATATGTATGTATGTATGTATGTATGTATTGTATTTTTTATTATTATTATTATTATTATTTTGTCTTTTTGAGATAGGGTCTCTATGTAGTTTGGGCTGGGCTTGAGCTCACGTTGTAGCCCAGGCTGGTCTCAAACTTGCAACGATCCTCCTGCCTCAGCCTCCCGAGTGCTGGGATTACAGGCATGAGCCACCACGCCCGGCTAATATATATGTATTTTATATATGTATATAAAATAAAATTTGAATAATAAGAGAAAAACCTGAATATATCGTTGAAACTGAGTCATATTTCAGTAAACCAGATATTTTGGCATAATACTGATAGTTGTAATCCTTCCAGTTTTCTGTTTTGCTAATATTTACTTGTGAAGTGAATTTTGTTACATAAACCCCTCACTATAATAAAGTCTTCTACAGCTGTGAGAATTATTTACTGGAGACCTCAGGATCTTTTCAGCATGTTAAGTGATCTAAACTATTCCTTGTTTTTATTTATTCATTTATTTATTTTTTTGGTACCAGGAATCGAACTCAAGATGTTGTGCATGCTAGGCAGGCACTGTGCTGCTGAGCTGTATCCCTGGACCCTTTCTTATGTTTTTAACTCTGTTAATGAAGTCTCATGAACACTGAGCTTTATTTCCTCAGTTTACCAGAAGTGCCCTTGCTGGTTGATGTGCCTTGCTTGTCTGCTCAATTGGATGATTCCATTCTTAACATAGTGAAAGACCACATTTTTAAGCATGGGACAGTGGCATCCCGTCCACCAGTGCAGATAGAAGAGCTGATAGAGAAGCCTGGGGGCATCATTGTGCGATGGTGTAAGGTATGTAGTTTAGAACTGCAGAAGTGGCTGTGACTGTGCATTTGAGATTGTGAATTCTTGCTTGTGTTCCCAAGCAAATGAAAATCAAGTTATGGGGAACATGAACTGAAGTTGCGCTTCTAGTTTGATACAAACTTATGTATGTTTGTATGTATATATGTATGTATGTATGTACGTACTGGGGATTAAACCCAGGGTCTTCATACTGAACTATATTCCCAGCTCTTTTTTTTTTTTTTTGTCTTTTTCCTTATTACCAGTACCAGGGATCGAACTCACGACTGCCTGCTTGCAAGGCAGGCGCTTATGCTGCTGAGCTAAATACCCAGCCCCTATATTCCCAGCTCTTTTTTCTTTTGAGACAAGCCCTTGCTAAATTGTCCAGACTAGGATTGAATTTGGTGATCTTTAGTATCTCAGAGCAATGGGCACTATCATACCCACCTGAAATAAGCAGGTTTGTTTTTTGGATCAGGGAGGGAGGGCAGGGTATCACTGTGTAGTTCAGGCTGGTCTTGAACTCACTTCATAACCCAGGCTGGCCTCGAACTTGGAGTGATTTTCTTGTGTCAGCCTCGTGAGTGCTGGGATTTCAGGTGTGTGCAACTATGCCGGGCAGATACTTAGTCTTAAATTTCAAGTGTTTTACTTTGGCATTATTGTTCAGCAAAGTATGCCATTTCTTGAAAGGAAACAGAATTTATTATGTATGTATGTATGTGTGTATGTATGGATTTATTAGTACTGGGAATCAAACTCAGGACCTTGCACTTGCCAAGTAGACACTGTGTTACTGAGCTATACTCAGCTCTCAGATTTTTTTTTAAATGTCAGCCTTAAAAATATTGAGCTCAGGCTGGGGATTTAGCTCAGCGGCATAAGTGCCTGCCTTGCAAGCAGGCAGTTGTGGGTTCGATCCCTGGCACCGATAAAAAGGAAAAAGACAAATAAATAAATAAATAAATAAATAAAAAATACTGAGCTCATGGTCCAGTAAAGAAAAAAAAAGAAATAGTCACAACCACAGCATATTTACTAAGGCCTTCCCTGGAATGGCTCCTATTCAGTACATGGGTCTGTGTGGTTGGTGCTGAAGGTTATCCCCAATCATTTTGTGTTTTTTTTTTACCTAACATAAGGCCTTTTTCTTCATAGGTGGATGATGACTTTATAGCTCAAGATTACAGGCTTCAGTTCCGTAAATGTAATTCAAATCATTTTGAAGATGTGTACGTAGGTTCTGAAACTGAATTCATAGTGCTGCACATAGACCCCAATGTTGATTATCAGTTCAGAGTCTGTGCTCGAGGAGATGGCCGGCAGGAGTGGAGTCCTTGGAGCATCCCCCAGATAGGTCATTCCACATTGGTGCCTCATGGTATGCTTTTATCTTCTAACTCCTGAAGCCTAGTTATGTATATTGGAATTTGCTTATGTTCTATACAGGTGGGCAAGCACTAGTAACCTTTTTTCTAAGGATGAATCCTAAATGGCTGATAACGTGTGTGTGTGTGTGTGTGTCTGTGTGTGTGAATGTGGCACTGAGGATTGAACCTAGGGTTTCACACATGCTAAACATGTAGTCTATCACTGAGTTACACCTCCAGCCCCTGTTCGTTAGTTCTTAATCATGTGAGGGTAAGATCAAACAAGTCAGCTTGATATAACTTTATTAGAAAGGAGGTAGCACTTAATTGGTTTTTCATACCAAAGTTGCATAGAAATATTTAAAAATCTTTTTTATCATTTGTTGGACTCATCATGGTACCCCATTACTGAATCTTTTGTTAAACACAACCTTGACCTTTATGAGTAGTGACTTCTGCTTTTAAGTTCTAGTTAATGTGTCTATATTCAAGTTATCCCTGCAAAGGGTCTAATAATTTTCAATATCTTTGCTTTTCAAAAGAGTGGACAACTGGCTTTGAGGGATACAGTCTGAGCAGTCGAAGAAACATAGCACTCCGGAATGATTCTGAATCCTCAGGTGTTCTTTACTCCAGAGCTCCAACCTATTTCTGTGGGCAGACATTAACATTCAGGCAAGTAGATACTTAAACATCTGCCGTGCTATAGGTGGTGATGTGAAGTGCAGAGAGCATGCCTGAGCTTTGAATTAGAAATATCCTGAGTTTATTCCATCGTTTAGAGCCTGTGTTACTTGGAGAGGTTTCCATATATCTCTGTTTCACTTTTTCATCTAGATTCATAAATTACTAAGAAAATTAACTGAGATAATGTATGAAAAACTTATTTTTTTTTTTTTGGCAGTACCAGGGATCGAACTCATGACCTCACACTTGCCAAGCACTGAGCTAAATCCCCAGCCCCTGTGTGAAAAACTGTTGGTACTTGATATGTTCTCATTTCTTTTCCTCTTAGTAAACAGAGGTAGAGTATTGCATAGCTCAGCATGGCGGTGCCCACCTATAATCTTGGCTACTTGGGAGACTGACAGGAGAATCAAGAGTCTTAGACCACCCTCGGCGTCTGTCTCAAAATAAAAATTGGAAGACGGCCTGGGGATGTTGCTTAGTGATAATGCAGCCCTAGGGTTGAAGGCCAGTACCACAACCAACAAACAACCCTCATGCAAGTCTATCTTGAAAATTCAGAAGTTGTGAACTTTTTTTCCTTTGTCACTTATGTCTCTGACACACCATAGCAGTGTATACATATCTGTATATACATTTCTTTAAAATAAAACTGAAAGTAAGCGTCTCCTCCTACCAGTTAATTTCCTGTTTCTTAACTCATTTATCCCTATACTGGAAAAATATCCCTTTTCTTTTTTTTCTTTTTCCTGGCACTGGAAATCGAACTCACGACCGCCTGCTTGCAAGGCAGGTGCTTATGCTGCTGAGCTAAATCCCCAGCCCTGATACCCCTTTTATTGTTGTCTGAAGTGTATGGTCTGTAGGTATGGTTTTTAAACTAGCTCTTCCAGTAAACCAAAGCCTAGTTATATTTTGGTTTTGTCTTGGCTGTATTGGGAATTGAACCTAGGATCTTGGGCATGCTAAGTGAGCTCTCCCAGCATTTAATGTTTTAATTTTGAGACAGAGTCTTGCTATGTTGTCCAGGCTGTGCTTGTAGTTGCAATCTTACTGCCTCAGCTTCCCGAGCAGCTGGGTTTATAGGTACACCTCATTGTGCCTAAAGCCCAGTTTTGATTCAAAACTGTAAACAGTGCCTGATTTTTACCATACTCATCCCAGCGTAGCAAACTGTCCTCTAAGTTTTAAGTCTTTTTTTTTTTGTCTTTTTCATTTTTATCAGTACCGGGGATTGAACTCACGACTGCCTGCTTGTAAGGCAGGCGCTTATGCCGCTGAGCTAAATCCCCATATCCCCATCCCCATAAGTTTTAAGTCTTGAGATGGTGGAATTTTACTATGAGTGTTTGTCTCAAGTTCCTCCTATTCTCAGTCCCTTGTGTGAAACAGGAAAATATATGATGGTTTTATCTGAACCAGTGTTGTCTCCAGACAAACTATTTGAACTGTCAGTAGTCATCAGAGTATTCTAGTTCATGCTGGCTTATTTATTTTATTTTTATTTATTTACTATTATTTTGTGTGCGTGAACGGTACTGGGAATTGAAGGGCCGTGTACATGCTAGGCAAGCAGTGCTCTCTTATTTTTGACTTCCACTCACCTTTAATGAAGGATTTAATAACCACAAAAACACCAATGGAGAAAAATAGAGTCTGTGTTAGTCAGCTTTTATTTCTATAATAAATCGTGTGACGATTGACTTGCCAAGAGAAAGGTTTGTTTTGCAGGTTCAGTCCTTAGCTGTTTAGCCCTGATGCTTTGAGACTGGTGGTGAGGTGTCCTGGTGGCAGATGCAGCAGCAGAACTTGGTACTCCATGACAGGCTGTGAGAGGAAGTAGAAGGGCGTGGGGTACCACTTTCCCCATCATAGGCCTCTCATGACCCAGTCACCTAAGAGGCCCTGCCTCTGATGTTTCTGCCACCACCACCAGTAGTACCAGACTGGGACCACACCTTTAGTGTAGGGATGTTGGGGAAAACACAAGGGGTCAGATCTAAAACCTAGAAATCCTAGAATTCTGAGGCCTTTTTAATTCCCCAGGAGACATGAGACATTTTTTTTTTTTACTCATAAACCATCTCTGCATATGTCCCTTGTTTATAGAAATGCTCTAAAATAATTCTGTGCAATGACAGAACTTCTTAACCTGATAGAATGAGGCCAGATAATAATAATAATAATAATAATTACTGTTACTATTGACCGTGTTTACCATGTGCCAGGCACTATTCTCAGTAGTGTGCTTTAATAATTTGATTCTTACAGTAGCCCAGTGAGATATGCATAGCTTTCCATTTAAGAAATTTGGAAACTGAGGCACAGAGAAGTTAGATTACATATCCACTGTCTCACAGTTCATGAGTGCCAAAGTTAGGGTTTAAATCCATACAATCTGACTCCAGAGTTTAAGCTTGTAACTACTGGTCAAGACAGTGAATGTGATTCTAGCTTGTATTGAAATTTGTAGTTTCCTTAACTAAAGTTTTCATTGTTGTTATTTTGTTTATTTTGGATTTCTTTTTGGAGACAGAGTATTGCTGTGTAGTTCAGGCTGAATTTGAAATCACTGTGTATTCCTGGCTGGCCTCAAACTCATGGCAGTTCTCTTCTCTCAGCCTCCCACTTCGCTCAGCCTCCCAAGGGCTGGGATTACAGGTGTGCCCAATGATGGCTGGGTTTTTCCTCCCCTAAGTGCTGAGAATTGAACCTAGGGTCTTCTGTATGCTAAGCACTCTGTTTATTATTGGACTCTCAAGCTCTTCTTTTCTTGTTTGTATGACTTTTTTTGGTGATGTGGTTGCTGGGGACTGAACCCTGGAGTGCTTTACCACTGACCTATATCCTCATCCTTTTCAAAAAAAGTTTTTTGAGGCAGAGTCTCACTATGTGGTATAGGCTGGCCTTGAACTCACAATAATCCTTCTGCCTCAGCCTCCTGAGTGCTGGGATTACAGGCATGTACCACTATGTCTGGCTTCTATAACATTTAATTAATTAATTTATGAATGAATGAATAAGTGAATGACAAGGCTATTCATAAGCTCACTGTGTATCCCAGGATGGCCTCAAACTTGAGGCAGTACTCCTGTCTCAGCCTCCTGTGTGTTAGAATTATAGGCATGCACCACCACATCTGGCCGTTCCATTCCTTTTTAAAATTTTATTTTGAGACATGGTCCTACTTAGTTGCCAGTCTGGCCTTGTGATTCTGTGCTTTGGCTTCCAGAGTAGCTGGATTACACTTATGTGCCACTGTGCTGAGCTCTGTGTAACCTTTTATTCCCTGGTGATGTTGACCTCTTCCATTTGCTCCTGAGACTCCCCAGCTGTTCAAATTCTCCCTCTGTGGACACAGGGGATGACTGATAGATTGTATACTTAGGTTTGTTTTGTAAATCATTGAGTAAATATTTATTAGGGGATTGGAAAGTACAGTGATTGATTTAATTGCACTGCTTATCATCCTGAATAAACTGTTAGTTCATCTGTCAGCTCCCAAAGATGTGTGCCTGGGCCCCACTTGGCAAAGTGATTAACTGAAACTCCTCGGTTAAGCTCTCTGTTTTCTTAGACAAACTTTGCATTTTTGTCATTTTTTCCTTTGTGGAATGAAAGTCTTTTCTCTCCTTCTTTAAAAGAATTTCAGAAGATGTGGATGGGCTATTTGAAGAAAGATAAACTGTTAAGTTCCTTTTCTGAGGGTACTCAAGGGCCCAGGGCTCAGCAGGGTGACTTCTCTGTTGTTTAGCTGTCTGTCCCTGTGAAGTTTCTGGAAGGCGCTGAGCTGCTGCAGCCAGAGAAACCTGTGCTGCTGGCTGGATCTTTAGGGTCCCCAGCGCCTGCTGTCTGGTGTCCAGGCTGTTGGCAACCTGTGCCTTCTAGCCTCTCCCTGACTTCCCGTCCTAGCCATCCTCTTTTCTTGCTTCAAACCCTTCCTGATCGTGGTTTCTTTTAGCCATATTTTGCTTTCTTCTCTTTGTCACCTTCCTTTCTCTCCCCTCCTTCTGGCTCCCTCCTTACTCCATCACTACTCCTCTTCTCTGTCCGCCTTTCTCTCTCCTCTTCTTTTTCCTCACTCAGCTCTCCTCCACTCCACTCTCATTTCTGTCTTCTGTCTGCTCTCCCTTTTCTCCTCTCTCCTTTTTCCCTGTCTCCTTTTTTCTCTCTCTGGTATTGGAGACACTCAGGCCTTTTGCGCTTAACTACATCTCTAGCTGTTTTAATGTTTAGAAACTATCTCACTGATACCCTGAATTGTTCATGCTGAGCTCAAACTTGCTACCCGCTTGCCTCAGCCTCCAGAGTGCTGGAATAATGAGGATGCATCACTATGTCTGGCTTCCATCATCTGTTTTTTAAAGAAGTTCCCTTAGTCCAGATAGCCTGGGGATAGGCTGTTATTGCGTTTCTATAAAAGATAAAGAAATAGAAGCATAGAGTAAGGGACTTACTGAGATTACCGTCCCTTTGCAAGTAGTATGAGATGGTAAATCAAGAGGGGGAAACCATTTTTCCTTCTGTTCCTCTTCTCCTCCTACTCATCCTTCCTCATCCTCCTCTTCTTTTTCTTCTTCTTGCTCTTCCTCCTTTTCCTTTTTTTCTACTTCATCTTCATTTCCCTTTTCTTTCTGCAGTGCTTGGGACTGAGGCCTGGGCCTTTCGCATGCTAGGCACGCTCTCCATGGTTAGGTGCATTCCCATTACTATTGCTGTGTAACAGACCCGAGAGTTAGAACAACTACAGCTATGCCATGTCTTACTGAGGAAAGAGCAAGTGGGGCCGCACATGGCGAGAACAGCTCCTGTCTGTTTCACACGGTGGTAGGTGTTGGTGGTTTGTCTGGGGTTGCTTCTGAGGTGGCCCACTCTCTTCCCAGGCATGTTGTTTCTGGCTCAGTTCCTCTCCAGGGGCAGCTGGGGCTCCCACGTAGCACAGAGGCCCGTATCAATGTTGAACATTAAGAGAAAGCAAGGGGAAGCAG